TAATAATAATAATAATAATAATAATAATAATAATAAGGATTGGCTAAGAACTGGGTCTAAAGATTCTACGTCTCCTCACCCAGAGCCCCTTGGCTACATTTCAAAAGCAAAGGCTAAAAAAATCACATCTAAGCAGCAATGTCAGGAAGTCCCAGGCATGATCCTAACAATCCATCAAGTTGAGTGCCTATCTTTATTGTTACATATAGTATTTCCATGGAAAATGCGTCCTTCCACTAAAAGTTACAAATATCCTTTGTTACATGGCAAATGGCTAAGATTATCAATTTTGCTTTCAGCATACTCTGAGAGAAAATATAATCCTATAAATCAAGTACTGAGATCTGGCCTTAAGTCTATCAATTCCTGGGCCTGGTGTGAGGGGAGGTCTACGAGGTTAGATACAGAGACCTCAAAGGTCCTCACAGTTTGGCTCAGTGAGAGCAGGAACATATCCACTATCTACTAACCAAAGTACTTTAGTTCCAGGTTGGGAACATCCAAGCACTGAATAACGACTTACTAAACTAAAAAAAAAAAACAAAAAACCTTATATTTGCCTGGTAAGAACAAGAATAATTTGAGAGGCATGCTAGGACAGAAATTTGGTCACAATAACTCAGAAGTTGGCTTTGAGGTCAATTGAAAATAGCAAGTGAAACTATAAGCCTAGTTACAAAAATAAAAGAGCCATGAGAATGAGAGATGCAGTTTCAAGGGAAGTTTATTTGTTTTTTTAAATATTTTCATATGAGAAAGACTTAAGGGCAATTTTAAAGGAAGAAGCAAGTATAAGGCCCCTTTTACATGCCCCTATTGTATTGTTAGCTTTTAAAATTCATTATTCATTCAACATTTTTTTTTATTGAGCACCAACTATATGTGAGGAACTGGTATAGACGCTAAGATACTTAGGTAAACCTAACAGATAAATCTCCTCTCCTCAAGGATATTGAGTTACCTCCTCTTGATTCTTAAACAAATTCCTTAAAGTTCTTAAGGGAAGGCTCCCTGAGCTCCTTGGAATCAGGCTGGGGGTCGTCTGTGCTCTGCCTGTGAACATGCTACGCAGCCTTATATTAGTTCATTTGGTCTGTCACCACCTGTAGACTGGATCTTCCTCCAGGACAAGGACCACTTCTCTTGTCCTTGCATCCTCAGAGCCTAGCAAAGCATGGTGTGGGGAGAGGAAGACTGAGTCTAGTAAATGGGTCAAGTCCACACAGGAAAGCTTACATTTGCTTGTTCATTTTAACATTAGAAGGCTGTTTATATGCTAAGCATTTTGCCCGAAGTCACAGAGAAGCTTGGGTCAGGGTACAGCTGGGACTTCTTGATGATTCTGGTGTTTGATTACAAGCACAATGCCAACTGAATATTTTAATTTTAAATAAATGACCATTGCTAGAATATTGCTTTGTGTAATGCTTGAAAGATTAGAGAGATAAGGGTAGAAATAAGATATTTAGGAATAAGAGATATACTTCAGGAAATTTTCTTAATGAACTATGATGAGCTATTACTGTTGACTGAAATCATCAACTATTCTCTGAAATTCTTACAGATCTTTCCTTCTTCCTTATGCTGCTTAGAGTCCTAAGTCCTCATGTTCCTGCATTTGCCTCTTCTCAGAATAGCCAACTTCCAGTTCATTCATCTGAGGAACAATGGAGCAATGATGAGCTCACACTGCCCCCTCCTGGCCCACCTGCTCCCTAACGAAGATTAAATATCCACTC